CGCCCCCGGCTTTGCGTTGCCTTAACGATTTCCTGGAGACTCGCCAGACCTTCCCCGCCCTCCTGCGACCTCTCTGAAGCCAGGCTGCCAATGCGTGGGTCATATTATTTAATTTGATTTTTTTTTTAAAAAAAAATAAAGTTGATGAGAAGCGTCCATTTATAAAGTATTCCTAACGAATTCCTGTACATAGTGGGTTTGATTTGTACATTCTGCTGGTTTTATTTAGTGATAAGATGTACAAAGTTACGGTTATTTCTGTCATTAAATAAACTGAGCGTTGCCATGAATTTCTCTCTCAGGCAGCTTTCCTTTTCACAGGGGGTGGGAGGGACAGAATTGATGCAGAATTACTTACTCCTCTTCAGTATTTCACCTTTCATAGATAGATGTCTGGTCTGAATCCAGAGACAGAACAGCAAAGTGAATGTGTGGATAATTTTTTCCCCCTTTTTGTCCCTACTTGAGCAAGAACCATGTCACTCCTGGCTGTGAAAAGAAGAACCATGAATTTCTGTGATACTGGAACTGTGTATGCATTGAATGTGATCGGTCCAGTTCAGGAGCCAGTCTTAGAGCTGCTGCTGCCCAGGGGGTGGGAACAATTATTCACTGCAGAGCATTTATTGCTTAATTGAAGCAGTTATTTACCGATGAGAGCTGCTCTCCTGAAGTGTTCCACCTAGTGAAGGCGAGAGGCCCCAGGTCACTTCGTTGCCACTCACAGGGCACAGGGCTGCTGGGAAATAGGCTTACAAGCCTCGTGTGACTTGGGGGGACCTTGCAGAAAGTGACAGTTCACCCTGTCCCCTGCTCTGAGAAGTTCTGTCCCCAGGGCAGCATTTCTTGTCTTGGGTAAGGTGCTTTAGATGTGTAGCACCCCAACCTCTTGTCGAGGCCTTAAAAGTTTACATGTTTAAACAAGCACCTGAGTAACAAAAGTAAAGCACAGCCTAAAACACCCCCTGGTTTTGCAATTGCTTTTAGTGCTACGCTGCAGTGCTCAGTGCCTGCAGCTCTGTGCAGCTGGGGTTGGTGCATGTGTGAGTATGAAAGGTGACTGTGGTTCCACTTCTGTCACAAAAGCAAAGGCAGAGTTGTTTTACAGGCAGCTACTCGGCATCAGCCAACGCTTTACTTGCAGCTGCTATGTCAAGAAATTATGGAAAGCTGTGGGAGAAAATGAGAGATAATTATGTTTTTATTATGAGTTGCATTACCTTAAATGAACATGCTTGTACTGCAAGGAAAACACATGGGCTCAAGAAGTCAGGTTTCAGAGGAGCTGAAAACACTTTATTGGTGCATCCGTCTCATCAGGAAACCCAATCCCAAGAACCAAACTTAATGACTAAGTCACAAGGTTAGCAAAGCTCTTCAAGGCCCCGCTGTATGCCACTGAACCCAAAACCACAGCCTCTGCTGGCCAGCTGTGGCAGCCACTGCTGCTCCTACCTCCCCTGCCCAGCCCAGAGGGGAGCTGGCCTGGGTGTAGGTACCACAGAACACCCCGGTGTGCACTGCAGACTTTAGAGCTTTGCTTTGGCAGCTACACCTTGTGCTCCCACCGCTCCAGAACGTGAGGTGGAGGGTCACACACGGGAGTCTGACACACCACAGACAGCGCTCAAGCCTAGCAGCTCCTCTTTTCACTCTAGGGGTAGCTATGCACCTACCCTGAGGCAAAGGCTCCCAATCATTAAACACAAGCAGCTTTCCTAAGCAAGCACTCTACAGTTTTTAGGAGGCTAATAAAACTGGAGAAGAGTAGGAGATCTCTTCATTAAGAAGAAATAAGTAGTTAAGAGGATATAGTAAGAAGCAAACTGTTAATGGTCAGGTTTTTACAGTGTTTTAGTGCCTCTCTGCAGAGGAACTGTAAGAAATGATGGTGATTTTAGAATGCAACCTTCCCTTCTATAGCTTAAGGGCAGAATTACTCAGCATTCCTCAATTTAAAATTTTATAATGAATTAAAAATAACCCCAACCTCTATTTTTTGCAAACACCTTTTAAGGCTACTATGTACACAGATAAAATCCCTTCTTGAAATTCTGTTGCTTCTTCAGATTTATCTTATCTTAGGGCAGCCTAGAAAGAGTTCTAGTTAGACCAGCAATGCTTTCAGAGAAAGGAAACCATGGGTGTGAGGGGCTACACCCAGGACTGTCTGAAACACTGCCACGAGGAGTTGACTGCCCTGGCTTTTTGGGGGTATTTCTGTATTATCACGAGGTGAGTTTGGATCCATTCACAACCCAGCAGCCTACCTGCAGGGTAGTTACTGGCTAACAACTTCCATCCTCACCTCCTGTCTCCAATGTTTTGCAAGCTGCTCAGGTGCCAGGCAAGGCGTTGCTGCGAAGGCACCGTGAGCCTTGTGAGGCAAAGGCTGCACAAGTCACACGGGCAGCCATCTCAGCCATGCAGAGGTGACACACCTTGTCACACCGAGCAGCTAAGCCTCCTGAAAGCACTTCAGAGAGCTACAGCAGGGAGTTTACTGTGAGTTGTAAGATTCCTGAATATCCTTACAAAAAGAACAAAACAACTAACACGCACACAATCCCCAAGACTGTCTTCATGTGAAGACCACGACTATTGCATCCAAAGCCTAGAACTTCAAGAGAAGGCCTAGTGAACGTTTGCCTTGATGAGAGTTTCCAGATGAATCCCCAGCAGGCACCTTTGTAGCTACCCGACGGGGCTTGGCAGGCTCAGACCCGCGCGGCGGCTGCGGCTCCGTGAGGCCCTGTGGAGGCACAGAGCTCACAGAGTGAGGCAGGAGCCTGCTCGCCTCAGCTGACAGCCAGAAGCTGCTGTGGCCTCTCCCAGGCTCTAGGATTACACTGGCAGGCCAGGGGAGCAAGCAGGATAAATATAACCTGGCTGTCTCACTTGCATGGGATGCATTTCCAGCCTGTCTGCGGTCCTGCTTGGCTGTCTCCTAAAGGATCCTGAAGGACCCAGAAACTGGAAGGGACGTCTACTTCAGCCAAAGACATGGAAGACACTGTTAGTACAGAACATGCCTCAAAGTCCTCCTCTTACTCAAAGTTCCCTTCTGCTATTTCCTAGTCCAAGTGACCCAGAGAGCATCAGCTACTAAGGAGCAAGATACACCAGTGAATTCACTGTGAATTACCACTACCTTAAAGGGGTTTATTTGGACAAACAGAACCACACGTGATAAAAATAAGTGAAAAGGAAATGCTTCGTTTTGCCTCGCCTAGTTCCAGTAATGCCCAAATCAGTTTTGGAAGTCCTGAAAGTCAGTTCTGAAAGTGTGTTTTGTTTTGTTTTAAAGAAACCAAAGATTCCTGCTACGGAAAAAAAACAATGTATATGTTTTTATGTTACGGTTATAACAAGGCTTTGAAAGAAAATAGTTACAGGTATTCAACTGCATCAGGCTTTAAAAGAAAAAAGATCACACATACAATACAAAAATACAAAAAAAAATATTTCTTAGAACTTACAAACTCAGAAGTCTAAGTGGTCAGAGCTTTCCTAAAGTAATAATAATAATAAAATAAAAAAAAAAAATCAAGATGCACTTTCCTGCCTGCACTCACAGGTTCAACTTCAGGAGGAAGAAAGGTTTTAGAGGCAGGATGAAAGTCATTAACATCCTGAGTTCTACGAGCAGTTCCAGGCTGCAGTGAATTTAGTGGGTGACTCTATCAGGTATTTGAGTTTAAAAACAACCTTGTGTTTGTCTGGGGGTGCAGAGGGAGCAGGTGCTGCTGCTGCTGTTGGTAACTTTCTAGTTACCAACTAGTTCTGCCAGTAAAATGTTTTAGAAGGACACAGTCTACATCAGACTGAGGTGCAGGCAGCTGGCACGAGGTGTGAAACCCTTCAGCACTGCTCTGCAGTACAGAAGCTAGGAAATGACACTGGCCAGAACAATGTCACTGCTGAAAATCACTGCAGAAGGCAGATGGGGAGGAGGAGGAGGTCGAGGGTTACTTCTGAAGCTTACACGTGTTAGAAGCTTTAGGGCTGCAAACACAGTGCTCTTCCTTAGCCTGATAGTGTCTGCTGAGGTCACACCCATCAAGGCATTTCGTTTCACATGGCAAGACAGGAAAGTGCATCTTAGATTTTTTTTTTCATAGTTAAGCAGTGAGTTACCAATTTTTGGTGTGGCTTTTATTCCTTCTAGGCATAGTAAAGAAAAACATTTCAACCAAAGGTGAAGCTTAACGTACATTAGCTTGTCTTTTTGGTGGTGGCTTTTGTGGACCACAAGGAAATGCTAACAAGCACTACTCAAAGCTAATGACTTAAGAGGAGCACACTGAAAATACTGATTTACCTTTGTAGTGAATATTCTTTACAGACTGTATCTAATATACAGACAAGGCCCATTTCCTCAGCATGAAACAGGCCACGGAGGGTTACACATCCTACATGAAGTTTTAAACTAAATTAGAGCTAATTTACCAGAGCCACTTGGAGCAACAGAATTCCTACTTTGCAGAAACAGAACAAAAGGTGACTGCAGGGAGGAAAAATAAAAATAAATCCAGGTTCTTATTGTTTCCTGCAGAAGTTTATAATGAAGTTAATAGTCCAGTAACACTTCTAGCACAAGACAATGCTCACTCTCTTTAGCAGTATTCCTAGGAGTCAACTGTTTCTCCTGTTAGGAAGAGGGAGCCAGAAGTGGGAATGCCAGAGCATTCAATGTTAACCTGATTAAAGAGACAGTAACCTTTTTCATCTGCTTTAATTTGTCACTCACCAGAAAAAAAAATTTAAAAAAAAATCTTAAAAAGGTACCACTCCAATTTCTTTATTATCTGTAACCTTTTGAAACTAATCACATGGAACTACAAAATTAGCAAATGCCTTGAAATCTGTATACAAAACATAAATTACCTCTAATTTCAAACTCAGTTATTAGTGTACCACTCAAAATTTTAAAAAAGTGGCTCCAAAGATAGTCTTATACCATTCTTACAAAAGGAAACTGTTCCTTTAATGTTACACCCTCCCCTCCCCCCAGACACCCAACTCTCAATCCAGATCTTTTAGTTATTGTCTTGGTCGTGGACATTTCCAAGATGAGATTTTATATTTCGTTCCCATAGCTTCTGGTTGTCAGAAAACCCATGCTTTCCTTTGTTGAAGGAGTTTGGTCCTGCTGAGGTTGGTGTATCCCTGTGAAAAGTAAAACCACATCAGTTGGGGAAAGTCAGCACAGCTACAGCAGCTGCTGCAATGCTGATGCTCAACACGCTGACTTCAAGTCCAAGCTGCCACCAGAACCCACGACACCTTTCCTGCAGGAGCCCTCACTATTGGCAACTCTCCTCTGGCTTTTAAAAAAATCTTTAAAAATGTCCCTATTTATTTTACCATTGGCCCTATACTGACTTAAATTCGTGGCAAGCAGAAGAATTATATCTATTTGTTTTAAAAGTAAACAAGCAATTATTTGCCTGTCAAAGAGAAGGTTCTTATCTTCCCCTTTCCTGGGAGTTCAAAAATCTGACAAGGCAACCCTACTTCAGGGCAATTTATAAAATGGAGGACTAGAAAGACAAACAGTTTAGCAGCCAGCTACTACTTTTCCAAGACAAAAGTGAGCCGCTGTTTCATATAGAATCAATTTCTTCCTCAGAAAGAAGGCAAATAAGATTCAAAGTGCAAACGTAAATGTGCTACTTTAAACCTACAGCTGAGACATCTGATAATATCTGTATCAAAATTTTCTTCTTTCTGGAGAAAACCTTTTTGAACCTGTTCTATCTTCTCATCTGACGTGTGCTGGAGGATGCATTGTTACACACTCAACCTTCTCCAAGCTACAGCTGAAAGCTGACCCACCTCCCAATGTTCTTCATGCGCATCTTGGCTTCCGGAGGCATCTCCTCTGGCTCACTCTGCAGGGAGAAAGGAGGAGGCTGGGGTGGGCTGGGCACTGGCTTTGGAACATTTCAAATGCCTGACAAGATACAGCATGGCCTACAACCCAAAGTGACTTAGGAACAAACAGAGGTTCCACAGGGTCACAGAAAGAAACACAGATTGCTCTGCTCACCTCTGTGTAAGAAGGAGCAGTCACACCACAATAAAACACTGAACAAACCAGAAGGAGCACAACTCTTCTTGGCCTCCTCTTTATCAAGCCCAGAGAGAGCCACCATTAATTCCAATGATGTTGTGCATCTCATTCTCAGGGAAGATTTATCAGCACTTTAATGATTCAACTTGACTTGAATCAACACAGAGCTACAAAGTTGTAGTCTTAAACAGAAACACAGCAGATGTTCCTAGGTCGAAAATCCCTGACATTAATGTGAAGAATTTTGAGTGACCCACCCTCTCTGCCTAACCCTAACCCCCACCCATGGTACTTTCAGGCTGTGCTGGCCACTGGCTTATTACTCACATCTTCATCCTCGTTGAAAGCCGCTGCTACCGAAAGGGTTTTGGGAGCAAGGGTTGGAACAGGCTCTTTAGGCTTCTGAAAAAGACCAAAGGCACAAGTAAAGTAAGTCTACTAACTCAAAAACAGCTGCCCTGGGTATTTTAAATGTTTCAGTGAGGACACATAATCTCACTGCCCCAATGGAGCAGATGTGCATCACACAGTTCAGTCAACATGGGGCTCCCCTGAAAGGCACTACTTTGATTTCCAGTGAATACCTTCCTCTGTTTAAGGTGTAGGAAGCTGCTGAACTCACAACTGCTACGTGTAATGAAGCAGAGATATCAAAAGTCACTTCAAGACCACACTGAGTCATCAGTAACTGCTTCTCCAGTAGCAGCAGTTCCCTAAATCAAGCATTGCAGTGCTTCACCCATTTTCAGTGTACTGGTGATTGTTTCACAGACACTGGCAGTCTGGAAGCTGACACTGCAGCAGAGGCTTTACAGGACTGCCTACAGCTTCTCCCCACCAGTAGTGTATAATGTGTGCCTGTAAGGACAAATGAACTGCATTAAGCAGGGAGGCAGCATCCTGTCCTTGCCCAAGCTAGCAGGGGACTACTTCAGTAATAAAGAGAAGCATCAGATTCACACCTGAACAAACTTCAGGATAACCTTGTACTGGGCAGTAAAGGAGCTTAGAATTCTCAACAGATCCATGGAACAAAGCCTCACCTCTGGCATTCTGTATAAACGAACCACACTGACCTTGCAAAGAACAGGCAAAGTCATGAAAAATAACCCATCATTCCCCACGCCAAAGTAAGGTCTTTGGAGTGGAAGGTGACCTCATAAGCCATGCAGAAGAGTGCCTGCTTTCTTGTAGCTTTAACCATCCTCTGCAGTGCAACTCCCAGCACTCATCTCAAAGCAGCCAGAACAGTTTGACAAGCCTGCTCATTTCCCTCAGGCAATTATTCCAGCCTTATCAAATCTCATTACAAAATTATTCTGTATGTTCAACAGTCTGCAGTTCATTTCAATCACATCCTACGCTTCCCAAGGCATGTGACCTGGTATTAAACATCCTGAAGTACTCACACGTGCATGGCCAGCTGGCCCTGCAAAGCTTTCTTAAACTTCACCCAGGTTGCCCTCATGTAATTCAAGGCCTCCCTTCTGCAAGGAACCTTCCCCAGAGTACATCCCCCTTTGCCTCATTTTCCCTAAAATCAAAAGCCCTCTGACAACTTACATTTGCTCCTAGTTTGATGGATATTGCAGATGCCTTCTTTGCTGTCTGACTGCCTATGGAAAATCCAAACTTGGACATTTTGGCAGGAGCAGGCTTTGAGGTGAAGTCTTCAGCTTCTTCATTAGCCGCCCGTTTCTCTGCGCTGCGACTCGAACTTTCTCCTCCATTACTGGAAGAAACAGTCTTAGTTTTCACAGGTTTTTCTGCCTCTTCTTCAGGTCCTGGTGAAGTCGAAACAACTTACCAAGATGAGCTATTGTTACTGAGCAGATTGATGGGAGCAGCAACCTCAACAAGCATTATACTTTGGGTGCAATGGGTAAGGTGTTTTTACTGACAGTTTCCACCAAGGTGCATTTAGTGGACAGCAAAACACAGAGAGAATAAACTGCAAACACTCCACGATTTGTACAGAACCAGGAAAACAATCTTGAAGCACCAGCTCTTTATTTAGCAGGGAAGTCAACCTTCATGTAGTAAATTAAGTGTAGATGACTAATCTTTTTAGGGTTTAAGTTGTCATAGATAAGCTCTCATAATTGGAATCCCAATTCCAAATCTAGAGTAGAGAACCTAAGTTAAAATTAATTCTATTAAACTCCTACAAAAACACATCCATGGCAGTCTCTAGGCTTGTCTGGCACAACCCTGAACTCCTGGAAGTGCCTACAGTGAGGCTGGCTGTCTCAACCATGTTTCAAGTCACCACTTGTCCACATCTTATCTGTAATAAACCTGCCAAGCTCTGCTTGAGGAAGGAATCAGCACTAGGAAAACAGACATAGATTTCATCTTTTCTGGTTTTATATACAGTCATGGGAAAAACAGCAGCTGAACAATGATCCACAAAGGAAATAAAAACAACATTCCTATCACATTTTCATTCCTATACACTGAGCTGCTTCAGCTACACCAAGAGATAAAGGTGTCCCTGGAAAACTCCCCAGCTTAGACAGCAAATGCTTCAGCAAAAACACATTTCTCTGCTGCTGCAATAAGCAAATCACTGCAGTGGCAGAAAGAAAGGAGGAAAAAAAAACAAAAGACCACGCACTGGGGAATGCAATGGAGAGGGAAGTGCTTCTACCAGCAGCTGAAGAAAAACTGGAGCTAGCACCAGTTCATCCTGATATCAAATGGGGAAGAGGAGCACAGCAAATTCAGACTGTCAGGTAAGAAAGTTCTTTGCATTGCTCTCTGACAGTAAAAAGCTGTTAGGTGAGAGAGCAACAGGAGAGAGGCCAGTCTGACCAGGGGTCAACAAGACTGTAGCTCTGAGGAGGAGAAGGGAGCAAACAACATCAGGAGAAAGCAAAACTGGCCACACAATTTGTATATCTTTTCCTGCTATTTCCCAAATCATAAGCAGCAGGATATAAATGTACCCTTTCTACCCCACTGTTTTACCTAGTGACATCATGTGATTGGAGCAAAAATGCATTTATTAGTCACCTTTGGAAACATGGCAGATCACAAAAAAAATAACAACTCTAACCAATTTCACACTGCTAAAAAATGCTACTAATCTGCACCACTTGAAATTTGACCCAGAAATTAGAGACATAAAAGGGAGAGACAAAGGAGGAGAGAGAAACGAGCAGCCTGCAAGGCTGGGAGAAGCTCTGCCACAACAGCTAGCCTGTGAAATCCCCAGGTACCCCACAGACTGTGAGGGGATTTGAGGGTAGGCAGAAGATTATTTGCCTTCAAAGTGTTGGAACCAGGGGCCTGAAGGTCTTTCTTTTCTTTCGTAAGATACAAAATCCACAGCAGCCCAAATCTCAGGGCATGATGGACTCATCCAGGCTCCTGAGCTAATGCTAGCTTGAAGCTAATCACACTCAGCTTACTTCTCTGAGTGCAGATCCTAGGACCTTGCACAAGATGAAGCCTAATGCCATCTACCTGTGTCTGTTTCCTCATCAAAATATTACCCAGCTTCTCTCTCAAAATTAGCTCCTATCACTAGGGATTTTTCAATCCAGACCAGAGCTCTGTGGCAAGACTTGAGTGGCAGGTGCACAGCATTTTGGGACCCCTTGCCCCCAGGGGAGAGCAACCATTGGTGGTGGGAACCAACCAGTCACAACTATGCTAAATTTAAGGTAAACCCCACTGATATTGGCATAACTTAGACTCTAAATTCTTGTAATAATCATCAGGGAGCAACTACCTTAGGGCCAATGTACTGGCTGTGTTTCAGCACACCAAGCAATACACAAAAAGGCATGGACAGCTGATATACTGATGCTGTCCAGCTACTGTAATATTAATACAAAAAAAACCAACAGAAAACCAAACCCAACCACCACCAGCAAAAAACCAAACCAACAGAACCAAGGAACTCCCTGAAATCAAGTACTGCTGTTCATATTTCAGTGATGATCAGAAATAACATTTACTGTTGAGGCTATCCTAATGGGTTTACAAGTTTGATTTAATTTTTCAACAGAGCAAAGAAATGCCCTCTGCCTAAAGATAAAATTAAGCAAAAAACCCCAAAAACGACCAAACAAAACAGGGAAGAGAAGCTTTATCTTTGCAATGACACTCTCCTCAATTTTAAAGCCAGTGAAAGAAAGAAGGAAAGAAACACGATTCAGAAATTTAGGACTGATCATAAGCAGTGCAGAGATGACAGGAATGCAGAGTTATGTATATAATAATATAAAACCAAACAGAAAACTTGTAGTTTGCTGCCAAGCAAAACAAAAAAAAACCCAAACTTAGGATGTTTAAAACGTCAGACAAGGGATATTCACCGCATCCGTTTTTTAAAACGTACAATAGCTGTTAAGAGCTAATCGTTAAGACGTTGTCTTCATCCTTGCCAGCAGCAACGGCCAAATTTCTCTCAATACGCGGCAGAAGCGTTCCGTGTGTTTTTTACGGAGAGAGAAATGAGGCGTTTGGGTAGACAGGGAGGAGCTGCGAGCTGTTTTAAAAAGCTCCTGTGAGGCCGAGGCTGGCCCTCGGGCGTGTGGGCAGCGGGCCCGGCCCTCGGCCTTCCCTCCAGCGTAGCCCCCTCAGGCCCGGACCGCCCCCTCTCCC